TGCACCTAGGTTACCAATAGTTTCTCAATTGACATTAACAAGTAATGATTATCACTTACGAATATTAACTATATAAACGAATTGGATGATATGTTGGAAGTAGTAGTTTCTATCATAACTATAACCTATTAAGTAATTTATTCAAGTGAAGGAATCGACAAATGAACGTTGTGAGAATTGCAGTTGAGGTTTCATGTTTAACGAAAAGTTAACTGGGAGTGGCCTCTGTTGGGGACGATAGATCTCCAAACTCATATTTTTAAATTTTATCTTATCGATCAACTTATCGATTAAATGTTTGAATGGCAGTCAGTTGATGAACCTATCGATTAGATGTGCAAATAGGTCAATTGATGAACTATCGATTAAATGTTAAATAGCGGTCAATTAATGAACTCATTGATTAATGTTTTAAAATTTTCCATGACGATATCGATTGTAAATATTTGTATAAATACGCTTGATTGTGTGTTTGACTTGACTTGTTATCTGCTGTTTGTCTGTAGAATACACTTTCTACACCCTACCCAGACTTCTTGATCGGGTTAGCAGAGCCGCGGACAGCGAACCAGAATAGCTATCGAGTCGCTGAATCATTGATCCTTCGTTCCGTTCGAGTAAGACGCATCAGTAATAGCATTCAAGCAATAACGAACCATAACAGCCTCAAACTTACAGATTTCATCTTTGTTGGAGTCGTGTTTAGACTTGGTTGATGGATCCAACGCTTATGGTTCAAATTATCTCGCTCTAAAAAGAATAGTATTTATTTGTATCGATTTCATATGAGGGTTTATAATGGTATTAAAAAGTCTAATACATCAAGCTATATACATATACTGTTTCACACTGTTAAAAGCAGTCATTATTACATAATTTGTTGTTGAACAGCAAGTACATCGTATGGGACACCTAGCCTAAACTTACGACGGGAAGCGAAATAATTGAGCATGTTGATTGCTTCACTTTTATTAGAATTCCCATTATTCCTCATGTGTAAGCGGTTAACGGAATCTCAGTACGGATCTAGGAACTAATTTGACTCATGTTAACTTGCATCAGTTGAGGTTTAGGTAAGGTGTGAACTGTACAGCAGTCCTCTCACTACTAATCTCTGATTGAAACGTCTTTGAGGGTGTAAGATATGTGTAAGCCTCAGGTTTTTGAGCATAGATGTCTTCGAAGTATTGCTCAAATATTGTAACATGAAAGAGCAAGCAATGCTGTAGTTAAGCGTAAAGTACTGGGAAAAGATGACGAATCGTCTAATGGAGTTGTAAATCTCAGATTGAAGTGTTTGTGGCATGTTTAATCTATGCTTAACTACGGACAGAAGACATTATTTGCTGTTGGAGTAACTTGGAGGAAATCTAGGGACGAGCAAATTAAACATGAGATCAGCTGACGAATCTATTGATTTGTGTCATGTTGTCAGGTTGAGACTACCTAGTTGTGATTTTCAGGATTATGTTGTTGAATAACTGGCAACGTTTTATGACATGTCTTGAAATAGGTCAGAATCGCACAGATATATCCATTTTTTGTATTGGGTTAGATACTGAGCTTTAAATTTATCTTGCATGTGTTATATTATGAACTTTTTGATTTTCATCGAAGCGCATTCACTATATTTAATGTCTTTCAATAGCATTGACATTGCTACAACCATAACTTTGGTATTTGTTTTGATAATTTTATATCACTTTACAGATATGATATAGCAACTAGGATTGATGCATATATATGGCAGGTTCAGGATGGCTTATAATCGACTGGTATGTTATTACCAAGTAGTTTCATAGTAGATACAGAATATTCTGATTGGTTATTTATTACAAATAAGGTATTGACTGTTATTCCTACAATGAAATGTTGAATTCTTCTTTACCATATATTCATGTATTTTCTCATTTTTCACAATTTATCTATGGACATTTAATGGGTAGGACGTTTCACAATTATATCAGACATTATAGTATTTTATTATGTTTCATTCATTTTGGTAATTTTTTCAAATAGTGAATATCGCACTATTAGTCTGTAATCAATGCGGTCATTAATGTTTAATACACTGTAAATTCTAACGTTATTTAAAAGTACCGATTTATTTTACTTTGCTTGAAACCTCACTTCATTTAATATCGCTTACAAACGGTATGAAGTTTAAAAATATTGATTTTAATTGACATGATCCATGAACAAGTTCCACATTCTTTAGGAATATATTCAGTCATTTCTTACCTACATATATACCAAAACTTTAAGAAGTTCAAAGTGTAATACCCCGAAAATTTTTTTGATAAATACGAAACGACTTGAAGAGAGGGGTTACGTAAAAGCTAAACATCTTAAAACACCAACAACAAATCATATGTTGCTATCGATAGCGATTTTCGCAAGAATTGGATTATTTCGAAATAAACACTTCTTAGCTATTCAAGACTAGCTTGTTCAGTAATTCATGCAGACATCTGACTAGTCATCCTGAAAGCAGATGAGATGAATTGCTATAAAAACACAGACCCATTAAAATGTGTCATTATTTGTTATGTGCATTACCTTCATCGCTTTTCAAATGGTTATTGAAAAAACCATTCAGTATGACTTTGTAAAAGAAAAATGTTGACCATAAATTGTGCATATGTTTTATCCTTCTCATGAACGCATACGTATATGCAAGTATGCAAACAGACTTGTTTACAAAATAGAGCTTAAATTTTGCGTACATATTGTTGACAAACGTATCAACGCGTTGACACTGTCGTTAAGTAATTCATCTAGTCTTCTTGTGATCAGTTCGTAACACTTGCAAGCTTTTTGTTTATTTTAAGATGATCGGGATGAATTTTAACAAATGTGGAGATATAGTACATTAGAAGAACTATGTTCTAGGACCTGACGTAGTGTGAATATCTATACAACCATGTCCAGGTCGAAAACCAGCCTGGTTTTCTCTAGTCTACTCTTTACGAGCTTTAGTTAGGCGTCGAAGTATTATTGAAGCTAATATTTTAGACACTATATTAATCAAACTGATTCCTCTGATTGTCACAAAAGGACTTTTGTCCTTTCTAATAGACTGATACAATAAGTGATTGAGACCAGTCAGATGGAATCACGTGTAGAATCTGGGAACTGGACGTACTCCCATCTGACTGGTCTCAATCACTTATTGAATCAGTCTATAAGAAAGGACAAAAGTCCTCTTGGGACAATCAGAGGAATCAGTTTGACTAATTTAGTGTCTAAAATATTAGATTCAATAATATTTCGACGCCTAACTAAAGCTTGTGAAGAGCAGACTAGGGAAAACCGGACTTAATCGGCAGTAATAGTTTCAACTGAAGCATACAGAGTGATTTGTCGCATAATTTTTAATCTCTTTTCTGAAGTATTATGCCTAAGCTATAACTGCTGTATTTATTATTTAGTCTGGTACCAAGATAATGACCTACTTTGAAAAACCAATTACTTATCTATTCTCACCGTAGGAAATGAATGAAAATGTTGGCATTCCTTCAGTTGGATTTCTATATTTGCTTAAAAATATTACGTGAAATATTCATAATCTCAGAACAAGTTCTATTTCTTAAACGGAACCAATTAGCAGAATAGGGGTTATAGAGGTTGTTGGAATTTATTGAAATCACAATCCAATCTAAATTGGAAACCTGGAAGCACTGGAGACCTGTCTCGTCCATCATCTAAAAAATCTACATGGATTTTCGGGAAATGCGAATAGCATGTTAAACACAATGAAAGGCTTAACCACATGCTCACTAGTGATTAATATCACGCGGTACTTGAAACGCTCGAGTGATCAAACATGAATTTTGGAACTTAGTCTTGTCTATAATGAGACATATCATTAATGACACTGGATAACCATTCACTCATAGAGCGAGTTGCGGGAAGTCGTAAATACATACAATTAGATTAAAACTCAGTGATCTAAATTTGTTAGGTTTAAGAGGTTTAATCCACGTTTTGGTCATGGATGAAATAACTTTCCAATAATATACGGTCTTCCACTTATTGACTAGCTGAAAAAGGATCATAAAGTATGAATTAGTTTAAAAAACGAGCCAAATCGACCAAAGTATTAAAGAAATTGAAAACATAGTGTATTCGTTTCCCAATATAATGATATCAAAATAGATTATAACTTACTTAACCAAACACTTACGATATTTAGTAGAAATTGAAAGAAAAATCAATAAGAATTCTTTTCTCATCAGGAACGAATAGAGGCCGAACATTTTGACACTTTGTCTGAAGAAAATAATCCAAAATAAACACTACATTTCACATACTGTATATAAGGACTGCGGTTAGAAATGAAATTTACGATACCAGTTTTGTCTAATTCGAGACTCGTCAAGTGGACGAACTTGAATCTTTATGTTAATGTTCATATCGGGACTCAAACACAGTATGTTCTGGATCAAACGGGGATACGTTACATTGATGTATTTATTTTATATAACCACAAACTTTTTCAATAAGTATGATGCTTGTATTTTTAATAGGGGTAAGTAATCCACTTAAGACACTCATTTACCAATAAACGTCGAGCTAGATTGTATTCTAATATATCGAGAACGGGACAACTCAAACCCATCATGATGACATATTGCTCTTAACTATTGACTTTTGCATATTAAATTTTTAAAAAAACTTTTATTTTTGATCAATAAATAACCGAGTGTAAAAACGTGTTTTTTTTGTTGCTGTTTAAACAGGTAATATTAATTGATCAATTCGATATTATAATATCTTACATTATCAATGATAGGATTACATAAATATTATCTCTCTAAAAATTGTTTTATCGTCAAAGATATATTGGATACTATCGTCATGGTACTTGTGTTCCATAAATCGACTTTATTACCGTTCATAACTTATTGTTCATTATAAATTCTTTTTTATAACTCATCTAAAACGTCATTGATTTCAATTTCTTCTGATTTACTTAATTGTATTTACGATGTGAAAATATGTTATTTTCAAATTTAGACAAACTAATCCAATTTGTCATGTTAATTTATACTATTGACAACTTTATTCGTTTTGGTAAGTAATCGAATTCAAATTTATTACAGTATATTTAGCCCTGATTCTTCTTTTTTTCCAAAAGGGTTGTTTGAGAAGAAGCAGTAATAGTACAGTGACTATGACCTAGCTTCATAACGGACTTCTGAAGCTCTGATAAAAATTGTGATTAGTAGAGATTACCCATCTTGTATCACTAATGGAGATAACACATCACTGATCACAGTGGATGATAGAAAGTCTTCCCATAACACGAATCGACTAGCATTTGTGAACCGTCGGATACCAAAACTGTGGTTTTAATTTATTATACTCGCCGGCGTCAAAGAATTTAGGGTCATTAGTTCAAATTAATTGTCAGTAACCTTGAGTGATATCTTCAACTTGGATGAGTCAGTTGTCCAGTTCTTTCTGACTATCTATAGTAATGTCAGTTCTTAAAGGCACCTATTTTCAGAATGGATTTTAATACATTTAAAATATACCGCAATGATAGAAACTAAATGAGTTGTCAAAAACTGGTAATTCTCTAAGTTTTCTTACCATTTTTTTAAAATAACCGTAACGTGGTACAATTAGGGTGTAAGAGAAATTTAAGTGCTTGAGAAAAATATTCAGTATTTCTAGATGGTTTTGTTACTGGTTAAAATAGTCGGGTGAAAGTCGTTTACAACGGTATTTCACCCAAATTTTTCAATCCACTATAATATTGTCAAAGTCATGTTTGAATTTTGATGTAACCATACAACGGAATATCAAACAGATAGGTTGGTGAATAGACATTCAGGTGCTGTTACTAGTATAGACAGACACAAGAATATTCATTTGAAATAGAGTATAGTCATTCATAATGATGTAATAGTCCAACTAAAAGTACTATTAATATCACGAAGAACGAAAATTAAAAGACTAGGACTAATGCTATTATGATTAAATTGAATTCACCTAAATGAAAGATGTACATATACATAAAAAATTATTAAACCTACAGTGATACAAAGAGTGGGCAAATCGTAAATTTAGAGCGATTCTCTAAGTTGTCAATAAGCATATCCAAGATTTTTTCGATATGACGTTGTTAATAAGTAAAAAATAACTTCACAGATCATCTTCGAGCGATCATACATAAGCCTTTATTAGCGTATGTCCTCAACTCAGTAAACATTGGACGTTTGGATTTTTCGTTACACAAAAATGCTTGATTTCGATAAATTTGCGCCAAATATCAAATTCGCACAATCGACTACCTTTTTGTATAGTAAACAGTACTATAAATTTACATGTAGTTGAATATGCGTTTCCATTAAATACCTTTAACTATGATAATTCTTATTTCGTGAAATGCTCAAATAAAATATAAGTTGTAGGTTTTATTTTTCTGTTCAAGCACGAAGTCATACCAGTTTCTAAGCAGAACTACAGAGGTCTCTACGAAAATGATATTGTCAGTGACTGCAAATACACCATTTTTTAATGTTATAATAACCTATGGATGTTAGCAAGTGGAACAGAAAAGCACAATAAGTTTTTTAAATGGACAAATTTCGAAAATATTCTACAGGTAAAATTGACTCAGCAATCGTTATCGATAGCCATCAACTCTAAGAGTTTTAGTAAGTTCATTGAAAATTGCTTCAATGAAAGGTAGTCAAACAATAACAATAATAGATTAATGGAAACAGTTTATTTACACGAAGATCAATCAGGAAGTATTTAAAATTACAAAAATAACAGTAACAGATTGAAAGCAAATGAGCATAGTTAGTCAACTGAATAAATTGGATGTACGTAGACGATTACCTTATACGCGATGATACAAATCAATAAATTGTTACACTTCATGACATTTTATGGCAAGATATAGACGAATGAAATCCATAAATCATTTTCTCGAAAACTAAACGATTCTTAGAATAATAATTACTCAGGCAAGCTCATTATGTCAAGCGATGTCAGTAATAAAATAAATTAAAATCACGGGGTACTAGATAACCGTTCCACTATAGTTAAGTACTGTTCGGAAGTATGCTCTAAACAGACAAATTCGTCTCAATACATTCACGATACAATTCGGTTACTAATTTGGAACCTATTCAGTTTAGACTTGATGAACCCTAATTATTACAGCTTTTCCAAAGAATTTGTGGAAATAAAATCAAAAGCTAGACATCAGTGAGAACAATATATGTTAAATATTTATAGTTCTACATCATCTAGAAATAACGGTGAGATAAAATCGAAGGTCTTGAGTTTAATTGCATTTAAAGTCGTGTGTGCAATTGACTTAAGAGTCTCATAATACAACGAAGCTATTAATTGATCCTCGACTGCATTTTGTAATGAAAATTTCAGATTTTGTTTGGAAATCCACTGTATTAAACTATTATTAGCATTTCCACAATCAGTTAGGTGTTAACTACTGAAAACTCTCGTGAAAACAAATTGGTTTTCCTCCTGTCAGCAAGATAGAATTACAAATTTTATTTACAATTAAAATTACATATAATTAAAATAACCCAATGTATCATTGAATAAGAAAAAGTTAAGTCAGCAAAGAAAATTTTAGACGAAATCATTTACTTAAGCTGTATATTCGTATTTATGATTATATGGAAAATATATGTCTATAGAAGGATAGAAAAGATTGCATCATAAATTGATTAGAGACTATATATCAAATGGAGTTCCGCAATAATCAAGAGGTAAAGAAGGAATACAAAGATGTGAATAATTTATGGGTCAGATATCAGAATTGGAAAAGAATATTTCATTGCGTTTATATACATTATATGACTTGTCAGAAGATCAACGTTTTAAATTCAAAGATTGCATTGATATTGCTGGCAAAAATCGTACGGAAGATGTGATCTTGAAATTAATGAAAAATTTAAAACCGACCGAGAAGCAAACTTTTTGAAAATTTCCAGAGAAATATGTTTTCAACTACTTCAGTGTAACATTATCGACTATTCAGCTACAAGCATTATCTCTTGGTCCTAACATTAATGAACTCAACACTAAAATCCAGTTTGAAAGTCTCATTCTTCAGACAAATGACCTTATTCCAGTATCTAGTAAAGATTATGAGCATTTTAAAACAACTCTTGTAGACTGTTGTAATGAATATGTAAATAAAATACCTACAATCAGTCGACTACTCACAAAAGAATATAAATCTCAGTTTTCTGATATTCGGAGAAATCAGGACTTAGTGTTATGTCGCCCAGACAAAGGTGCAGGAATCGCCCCTATGGATTGCCTCGACTATGTCAGCAAACTATCTTCGATATTATCTGATCATGTCATATTCTCCAAAGAAACCGTTCAAAAAGACAACTGAGAAAAAACGGAACAGATGCTAATTAAAATCCTAAGGAAGATGAAAGATGAGTTTATTATCAATTGTGACCTCTATGAACACCTTAAACCATCGGGTTCTGTTATACCAAGACTATATGAACTCCCAAAAGTTCATAAGAATAATATCCCTCTACGTCCTATACTTGATATGAACAACACTCCGTATCATCTGATTGCCGAATGGTTAGCTGATATTTTACAACCTGTTAAAAATCATATCAATAAATACAACTCTCTTGATTCCTTTGACTTTGTCGACTCAATCAGAAATATCAACGTAATTGGTAAGAAAATGATCTCATTAAATGTCCCTTTTTTTTCATAAATGTTCCCCTCACGGAAGCTATTTGTTTTTTATTGAAAACAATAACCTTGATATATGTATCCCAAAGCATTATCCTAACGAACTACTTCTACTATGTACGCTCAACGTGCAATTTAGATTTAATGATGATTTCTATAGACAAACAGATGGAGTTGCAATGGGTTCTCCATTGGGTCCTCTCTTCGCTGATTGTTTCATGACCAATCTAGAAAATTCGGTACTTCGACCAATACTTGAGAGATTTCATTTATATAAGAAATATATGGATGATACTTTCATTATTTGTGAAGAAGACATGGACCTCAATGAAATTTTGAATAGTTTCAATAATTGTCACTCCTCAATTCAATTCACTTTAAAAGTAGAGGCAAGCAATGAATTTCGTTTTCTTGATATCCAACTGAAAAACGGCCGGATAGTTTTTTTACAGAGATCTATGTATCGAAAACTAACATGGAATAGACAGTACACGAATTTTCATATCTGAGTTCTACTGAGTAGAAAGAGGAACTCAATTCATTCTTTATCCTCAAGGATCAGGCGAATATGTCTTACCGACACAATAGATGAGGAACTATTTCAAATTCGACAAACTCTCATTAGGAATAGTTATCCACCTAGATTCGTCGATAGCAACTTAACACCTAGACTTTATCATGAAAAAGACGTCGAGAGTGCGAAAGAAAACCCTGTTTATGAATATGGAATACAAAAGAGACACGACTGCCGAAATCCTAAATAAACGGATTCCAAAATCGTTGAATAAAACATTTTACACAGCTAAGCACCGAATTGTTTTCTCAAGTTGGCCTACCATTCATAGATGTGTTAACGATAAACTTCCACTTTGGGACACATCAATGTACATCCATAAATTTACTTGCTAGATTGAGGTAGGTTGCACAAAGCGATTACTTTCCAAACGCATCTCAGAACACTATCTGGTATGGCTTTTAAAAGGAGAAAGTAAAACAATTACTAGTTGTATACAGGAACATTTTATCAACTGTGGACACCACTCAAAAGGAGTATTCTTTTAAAGTAGTCTACACAGTCAAACGAATTGGATCGAAGGGATGTCGAATCAATATTTTATGCACTGCTGAGGCATAAGCAATCCACGAACTCAAGCCCGGGCTTTGCATTAAGAAAAGATTCGTCAAACCTTTCATCCTTCCTTCGTCCTAATTCCCTTTATTGGTATGTTTCGGGTTTTTTCCTTCATTTTTATTTGGTTGTTATTAATTTTTTAAATTATTTGTTTTGCAGTTTTAAACTCTAATTAGTTATTAATATTATTACCTTATACAAGTTTACTTGATTATATATATATATATATATATATATATATATATATATATATATATATATATATATATATATATATATATACCAGCGCGTTATTCACCAAACTACTGAGTCTATACAAGAACTAAAATTTTTCTACATACATGAAGTTGTATGTAAAATTCTATATTTTTCCGTTGTTGATTTCACTGCTAATTGAAATTTAAATATACGAAATATTCGTAACTTTTGCCAGTGTCGGTAAAATTTACTTCGAATTCACATTAGTCAATGAACTCATCAATTACGGTAGTTAATATCAAAAACGGGAAAATGCGAATCTTCATGATGTGAACAGAGAAACAAGAAGCCCTGTCAAACTACGAAGGCTATTTTTCGGGACGTTATTTCATTTTATTCACAGCTTGTAAAACACTGACATTTATTTTTGTCCCTATTTTATTCTACAGAACATAAGCTTTCGTTCGATGTATCATTCATTGCCATTCCCATTTTTGTTCCGAAGCTATTGTAATCTACACATAATATTTTGCACCTTATTTTCTATCCTAAATTATTGTACGTTGTGGTCGGGTAAATCACCTATTTATTCATTTACCTTTTTTGCACTAATCTGAATTCAGAGATTTCACAGGAAATCAGGATATCGCAATAAACCCAATAGTGTTCCAAATGTCTTGTCTTCTCTCATTACCGTGCTTGCCAGCCAATCAGGTGCTAGAATAGTTTTCTTCTCTCTACCCCGCCTCGAACTCACGCATACTAGCCTCAGGATTAAACCGATCGGCCTATCGCGTCAAGGTCTTAGTCTAGAGTAGACAGATCGAGGTCATAACACTACATGTGTTTAAAAAGCAATTGACGGTGTTGAGAAAAATCCACTTTCACATTTCATGTAAAGGATGTTTAGACAAATTAATAACTGAGATGTAGAAAGTGCTACCTTCATCTTGTTCTTAGTCCTATCCGAATTCAGTGTTTCCATTAAAAATTCCTGAGATCTGGGGAAGTTGAATACTAACCTACATAAATCTGTCCCAAGGAAAGTACTCAAATTACTTCCAACCGCAAAGCTATATGAATCTTAAATATGAACTGATTATTTATAGTAGTATTTTTCGCTAACATAAACGGTGATAATTTATATGGTAATGATACACCATCTTTCTAGGGAAATCCACGTTCAAATCCCGAAAAAGTTAACCATAAATGGTTTACCTTACAAATTGTTGCTAATATTAAGTATTTTACACTTACTTATCACGAATCCATATTAAAATCGTTGCAATTACTTGGTCAAGCTGTTCACTGATATTAGTGATATTATTATTATTATTGTTATTATTATTATTATTATTATTATTATTATTATTATTATTATTATTAACAGTATAGTGAAACTAACAAATATTACAATATTTGAAATAATGCTATGTAAGTAAACCTGTTATTGCTAAGTGGTGTCCATGGTTTACATGTCTGTCTCCTCAATTATTTGCACTATGTATTTTTTGTCTGCCTCTTTTACTTTTGTGTTGAGGATTCCAAGCTAGCGTTTGCTTGTAGTGGAGTTTAATGGTTTCTTCCAAGTACGTCCTATCCACCCCAAAGCCTTTTCTGATACACTCATAAACAAATAACTGATTTCTTATCCACTAGAGCAGGTTGTTATTTGTGGTCTCCAGTTAGTTAATCTGGAGTATCTTGTGTAGGCAGTTGTTTATGAATACTCTTTAGCTCGTGGTGGTAGTTTTTCAGGTTTCAGCTCCGCAAAATATAACCATCTTAGCGTTAGCGTCGAAAACTCGGACTTTGGTGTTGTATGAGGTTTTTTTGAGTCCCAGATATACCACATTTGAAAGGATCATCGTATTGTATGCCAATTCATTGTTTTGTGTCTACATCAAATCCTCATTGTTTATCGATGATCCTGCTAAGGTACGTTAAGATTAAATGCATCGACTTTAAAAAGAACTTAGAAGATCATAATACTTATCGTATATTCACTATTCATATATGTTCAACATATATGTAAATAACGTTTTCATTTTAAAATAATTATTTTTCCATTTATAGTATTAATCTCGTCATCTGTAACTACAAATAGATTGCATCTATATGAAAATATGAACCAGTCATCAGAATATTTAAAAATGAATGGTTTGCAGCGAACTAATTTCAAATTTTCACAGAAATATAAACATGTAAATGACCAACGTCATCATCAACAACGTTCAGACGTACCTACAAGGTTGCCTTCAGTTCAAGAATGTATATCAGATCAATATAATTACAGTGTTATCAAAGGTGAAAAGATATTTCAAAATTATTTTGGCTTTAAGTAATAAATCCCTGCTCACTGGTTGTAAGATGAATATTCAAAGTTCTATCGAAAAGTACTGATTAGGGCAGTTCATTAATATGAGGAGTAAAAAAGTAACTTGGTACGATTCTGGGTGACGCAGGGTGAAATGGATAGGCCTAAATGAGGGAGAGAGAAGAGGGGGGCTCCATTTTAGTAATCTAAATGTTAAGCGCTTGTCATAAGGCCTAAAAGTCCTGACACGATCATCGGTATATATTCTTGAGGAGTCCTATACTTCGATGAAATGTCTGTCCAGTACAGTCTAGTTTCCAATGGTCCCTCTGTTAAAATTGATTCGAGGCTAAAACCAACTTTTGTTTCACTTATTCAAAACTTTCATAATTAAGCTGTGCCTGAAAATCCCACATCAGATTACAATGGACCAAACTATATTCAATCTATCTGCACAGCTGATAAATTTCAGTACATTTAAATGGTCAATGTATGTATTATACTAATCTAATTGGTCAGAATCACAACGTATTGCTTATTTTATCGAGTTTTCTAAATGTTTACAGGTTATGTTCTTAAATTTCAGCTGAATAGTTGTCTTTTTATTTGTTCAAGATTCAGTATATAAAGTTTCATCGAAGGCTAAAAGTCCATCTCATGCTTCCGGAATTCCCTTTTTGTTAAATCAGAAAATATCGAACAGATTTTTGATATTCATTATTCCTAGACAATGAACACTTACGACACCGTTAAATATCAAGCTCAGGCCTTTCAGGGTTCACACCAAACACGATAAATTAAGATCACTGAGTTGACACTCAAATTGTATCAGTTATTCTTCAAAGCACAACAATTATAAAATACTTGTGATGTTAATTTATTTCAACAGTTGGAAAGATTAGGAGCTTATTCTAATATGAATGGAATTGAAATAACCTTTATAAGTGTGAGACTAATATACGACAACACTACAACCTTGACAAACATATGTAGTTGAAGAGAAATAAGACGAGATTTCAGAGATGATTTCTATATTTCAAAAAAGGTACGTTTACATGAATAGCGATACCATATATACAGTAAGAAATAACCAATATTAACTTCTGATCAAAATTTAAAACTAACGACGGCTGAGAAACTAGTGCAGATGTGTATAATTGCAAGAAGAGTAGATGGGCACACTCAATCATATTGAATCCAGTCATTAGTAGCAGATACGCCTCACTTTAAAAAGATAAGAAATTAAGGATCACAGCATTTTTACTATAAAATTGAATTTTTTGAAAGTTCTTTCGCGTCTATAAATAACGCCGAATAACAGAGACTGGCTTTATTTGGTCGTAATTTCTAGACATTTATCAACAGAAAGCGGACTTCCATACTTTTTTGAATTCTAATTTTGAAGTTAACCGTTCCAAGTTTTCTTCGTAGCATTAGTCATATATTCACTTCGTTTGGTGTCCCACTAGAAATTAGTGAACACTGAACAGTTATTTAGTTATAGTGTAAGACGACAGGAATCATCAGGAATGACTTCACCACAGATCGAACCCAGGAACTTCAAGTATCGCGGTTGTGACTTAGAAAACAAAACCGATTGGTCATGTTTTCATATTTTCAAATTCAATCACTTTATGATGTGATTCAATGATAATCTAAAATCACTGATAACTGACAAGCCTGAACTACACTGTTAACGCCTTTTTACCAGGAATTTAGAATGTTATCTAGAAGTAACTGTAGTTTTTAGGCGTTAAGTCTGGAGATTTTTGGTTCGATCTCACGAGTAGAAAAATTACGTTTTTAAATTTTCTGATGTTTTATGTCTTGGTGTAAGCCACTTCTTCGGTAAATAAATAAACAGATTAAATTAACCAACGTTTAAATGATATAAAACAACAAAGTAAGAATATTCAGTGCGACCAATCAAAGACAGGTCTAACCAAATCAGTTTCATGTCATTCCGGTCAAAGTGATTTGAGGGCAGTAGGATTAAGCAATAGAAAGGAAGGCCTCGCTATCCACCATCTATCCGAGATACCATGTCTGATCCTAACCACATTTCACACGATTATCATACATACGAATTCAACCCTATGGTTTCGCACCACAAATGTCACGTTTTTTCATCCTTAGCCATACATACACACACAAATACACAATCATGCGCCGTATAAATCGCTGTGACCAGAATGACATGAAATCGATTTGGTCAGACCTGTTTTTTTATTGATTGCATCGAATATCCTTACTTTGTTCTTCTGTACTATTTAAAATTTTATTATTTATTTATTTGAACACATAAATATTGGTACAAATGGGCACCGGATGCATATAAGCCCCACAAGTCATTTGATTTGTGTGTGGGCTGTGATACTGCTCGGGTGCTCAGACGGTATTTTTAGGGACCACTCTCGGAGCCTTTGACTGAAAGGTCTAGCCCACAAGGCAGGGGAGCAACATCAGGCGATGCAGTCGCATGGTAGCCGGTGGCGAAGAATAGGTTCATACTCCACTTGTCCCTTCAGGATCGTGGAGCCCATGTGACCATTGGTTTGGAATTACGGTTTTCCAACTCCCCTAGATATAACCTCTATGTCCACCGGACATTCGCTTTTCATCCTATCATTTTCGTAAAAAACATCCTCGCTATTTAAACTTGGGTTAACTTATTCTCTTTATTTTTTTACTGAAGAAGTGGCTTACACTAAGTTACGAAACGTCGTAAAATTTAAAAACTTGATTTTTCTACTCATTGGGATATTGCAAATATATTATGTTTATTAATAACAATACATCCAGTGCTCAATTTATTTGAAATTATCAAGTCAAGCCTTGGTAATGACACCTATACATGAAGTAATCTCTACATGATCAATCTACTTAAATTCCAAGTTTTCTAAAGCGTAATTCATTTTTAACTTTTAGGTTGTTTATGTTATTTATTTCAAAGCACTGGATTAAGTAATGGTTCGTTTGAATTTATAACAAACTTGCATTTAAATTTATTTTGGAACAAAACATCCAAATGCATAATTTATACATTCGTTGGTGATTTAAAAGAGATCGTACATGTACGTTTACTGGAATTCAGCCTGAAAATGAAAATACGAAAAATTGGAAGTAATAAGTAAGCCAATTTAAAAAATAAATAAGGTTTATCTTAAACGTGATCTATCTAATAAAAAATCCCGGCGTTATTTAAGCTACTCAGTTTTATGATATTCGAAATGTTGATTACCTAACTTTGCACAAACCCATTACCTTTCTTGGGGCTTAAGGACCCAGCCAGGGATCTGAAAGCTACTCAACATTCCACTTGCTATTTGTGAAGTCTGATTTTTACTGCTTTAAAAGCCTTTTATTCAGTATCAGGCGTTGTCTGGATTCGTTGTTATACATGCTATAGAAGGGTCAAGTCATTTGTAAAGTCAGAAGCATCTAGCTATGTCCAAGATGTTTATTTTCTTCTGTGCTTTTTCTGAGATGTGAAGGTATTTATAATCTCATCTACAGCTATTAGAAAGGGAATGGATGAGAGTAGGCTGCTGTCAACATTCCTCACTTGGAATGCATGTGTGAGCCGACTTTCACGCATGATATTGCGGCTTTGTCAATTGTAGGGGTTCCGTATGACCTCGGCAATCTTCTCTGGTACTTCATAGAGTTTAAAAATTTCAAAAGGTTTTTCTGTGCACACTGTCGAATGTATTATCATAATAGAGAAAACTGAGTTTCGTTTTATTATTATTCATTAATGATCCTTAAGATCACGAATCGTCCATTTCATGATCTATCCTTTATTTCTGAGCTAGGTTTTTACTAACTCTTTCATTATGTTCAGCAACACCATTGAAAACTTTCCATAGTGCTATCAATATGATCCTTCGGTAGCTCTCACATTTAATAAAATGTCCCTTCATGGGCTTGTCTATACAAGTGTTATATCCGGTGAAGATTAAATTACAGGTAACTTCCAAAGACTATTGATGGACTAATATTCTATAAATATTCTTATTGTATAACTACTCAACAATTACACTATGTATATTTATATTTCTCTTATTATAAGCTTTATTTTGACCTATATTTTATTATTGTACGATTTACGGTTCTTAAGTTATGTTCAGTTTATTAACTACTACCTCCCACATTCACAGCCACTTTTTGGGCTTATTTGTGTACAAATATTATTTCCTATTTTATGGTACGTTGCGGTCTGTCTGACTGATATATAAACCAAGTATGCCTGAAATAAACGATTCGATTCGATTCGATTCGATTCGATTCGATTCGATTCGATTCGATTCGATTCGATTCGATTCGATTCGATTCGATTCGATTCGATTCGATTCGATTCGATTCGATTCGATTCGATTCGATTCATATTACGGAAGCTGGTATTGTGTTCTGGACTCAAGTGGAAGGGCTCGTAGGACATAGGACCAATAAGGACGCTAAACTGCCCACACCGGTTGAACGTCATTGGTTGGCCTAGTGTGAAGATTCGTATAAGTCGTATTCGGATTGGTAGATAAATCGTGTGATAGAAAAACCAGACGTCAAGGTCATAACAACAAGAATCCTTTGAAGTGATCTACCCATCAGTTTATTCGCTCTTGAACCTCAGTTATGATTTCATTTCTTTGCTTCTTAATACCTGCTCTGGTCTACGATATTTCCTAGCAAGCTTCCTGGTTATATCATAGTTCTCTCGTATTTCCTTCTCCACGTTTACCAGGTCTTACACATATTTCCTAGTGCCTACTCTAATTGTTAGTTTTCGTTCGGCTGTTGTTGAATGTTGCATGATCCAAACCTATGTTAGCTTCTCTTTTTGTTCTTGTGTCTTAACTGAACCTTCTGGATCTTCCACTTATGAATGTTTGATTGATCTGGTTTCCTATAGTGTGGTACGGTGAAACCTATTTAGCATTGTGTGTGTAAGTGGAAAATCGTGGCTCCTATAGCCATGTTGGTTGATGCACATAGATCTACCAGTCCCTAGTCATTCTTTTTTCTTTCTACCAATGTATTTTACTTCACAATGCATTCATACCTACTGCTGTCCCATATCACGATGCTCAGATTTCCTCCATTTGTTCTATGCACGATCAGATTGCTTTTTCTTGTTATAGATACACGAAATACTCTACAGGTCTCGCATATTGTTCGGGAATTCCATCTACATATATTGCCTTTTACCCTGGTTGTCAGAAAAGGACTCAGCTTTATAACTTTCTAAGAATTTCGGCTTTCACTGTTCTGTGAGAAGACCTCTCAACTCTCAAGACAGAGTCTAAAAGTTTTACTTGACGTTTTTTGTTTAGCGTTTTAAGTGGGTTTTTTATAAGACAAAGTAGCTAACACAACGCATAACTGTGCTCATTTACCACGGGTTTTGACCGACATTCGCTCCAGATTAGCTCTATGTGTAACTATTTTCAATGACGTTCACCAAAAATTTTGTTCTGAAAGACGAAGACCTATTTTAAGAAAACTAAAGAGGAACTTGTTTTTTTACGAAGTATACCTGTTTGGTTATGTAATTAGTTTATTCTATATATTTTAAGTTCGCTAAATAGGATTGAAAAACCAGTTCTCCATTTCTTGGACATAGGCTATCAAGATACCAACTTCTCAACATTCGTGATTTGAAGTCATATAATGGTGTGAATAAACATGGTTTTATAGATAATATTAAAATGGACTTGTAAAGACTAATCCAATAAGTTTAGATATATAAATTTATATTGACTGACGCCTCCAAATGTAACATATCACTGGATCTGAAATTCTTGTGTTTGGTTTCTGCTGCGAATTCCTATACAAGAACGAATCCGCCTCCCAATGACTTCTGGTATTTGACGGTTATTTAACAAGGTCAGAAGGTGACGTGAAACTTCCAATTCTGTTAAACATATTTTTCTTATCTTCGTCTCATTAGATGTACTACACAATTTAAAGTTTATCATCAGTTAGAACGAGCAGAATTGATGAGTAATGATCAACCGGATTATGAATTATGCGGCCAACACTTAAATCAACTCCCTGTTCATGAATTTCATTCGTATGGACGTGTCATGATTATTGAATTGGATCAGATCACTAAAGAGAAGCAAAAAGTTATAGGATTTTATGAATTTCTTGACAGAGGTAAGCCGGAAATAAATGTCAGTTTTCTCTGTTTTCGTAAGTTATTCTTGAGATGATAGTCTAATAATAACCAACTCAATAGTGACTGTGATCGGGATTAATCTTTGGATATACTATTTTTAAAATAATACAAAATAACTATTGAAAATAATAACCTAACTAGACATCATTATTTTAGAGTTTTTTGGTTGAAGGTAATAAAGGTTGTCTGTTTCATGTTTTGGTCCATCGTAAAGTATTTTTTGATTGTGTTATTGAACTATTTATGGTACTGTTGAACCAATCAGCATAAATCATTCTTTTTTTCGGTTGAGGTTTCAGTTTGTTTTAAAATGTTAAACGCTACACTTCAGCTGAATAATAATTTTTCTTAGTCAAATATCAGGAGTCGACATTCTGTCGTTTTTGTGGCTCAGTAAAACATAAGTGATCAGGGTTGCCAATAATATCGTATGTAGAGTCGTGTATTTCAGTGAAAACCCTGTCATATGTTTGGCAAAAACAACTAATAGGTTATTCGTAAGTGATATTCGCTAAGAGTCGGTCATATCTGGGGTAATACCGAAAATAAAGGAGGATTAGATAGGTGTTTCGTCCCTATTTTGTACTCTTCAGCATCACTCACTAAGGATCTCATCACAGATTGACACTAGGAACTTTAGATATCTCTGCTAGCATTTGACCATTAGAACCACTTGGTTAGTATTCAAAGGCATTGACCTTCCGCTTCAGTCGAACCATGATTGGATATGAATATCACCCAGCACCATTGACTACGACCGTCACTCCTGACAAGTCAGCATTTCAATGAACATAACCTCTAATTAGAAGCTCAGTAACTCGTCTTGATAGTAGTCACTAGCGAAAATATGATGAGTGTTCGTTTACGACATCCTTCACTAACGGATCTCAGTTGGAAAAACGTTCGGAACCAGAGAATGCTATTTCATACTTATATCATAGTGAACGAGAACTCAAATGGGGAAAACCAATTTGCTGTGTAATGCAAAGTCACAGATTGCCTCCGTAAAATATGAAAACCGTAAACTAAATACATTATTTCACATCTTCCTTCAGTTATCATGTAAGTGCTTCATAATTCTTCTAATTCTGTCGTTATTACAATTGCTCTCTCTTTCCCTTCCTGTTATCTTCGATTCAATCTTCTGGCAGGCATTCTACTTCTGATTGGGGCTATATACTACTTATACTTGTCAGTATAAGTAGCATATACCACAGCATGGGGTACTTCAATAACTCATAATAACGACATATATATATATACGATGACAGTTAACTCTCAAAATGTAAATATCTGGTCAGAAACAATGAGGTGTTTTACGCAATAAAATTATACAAAATATATAAATTCTTTCTCACAAATACACACTTTTAAAGTACACTGAAAACTTAAATTGCTGAAGGATCCGGATTTTCTTGGGTTATTCAGTAAACACCGAAACTGTTAGGCTTCATTGTTTATTATATCAGGCTATCCAGAAGAACTTTGGTAAAACCATCCTGAAAGTGAACATTATTTAGTGCATGAACAAGAGAGATATTTTAACAAAATTCATTAACTGGTCACCATGACGTGTAGATTTAGTACCTTAAATAGTTATGGTAAATTCATTTAGTCCATAAAGTTCATTTATACACTTGGTGTGTGGTCAGTATTGGCTGATAGCTAAGATGGCTTGCTTTTTCACCATAGCAACATATATTTACAATCACAAGATCCGTTTATCGGACCTTTCTTGTATTTTCCCTCGACTGTTGAATATAAATAATCAACTCGTAGACAACAACACCTCATAAATGTATATACCATTTATGTTCCATATCTTTTTGCTCCGCATTTTAAGTTGTTAATGTAAAGTTTGGTAGATAAAAGTTAACTATTGAGTTTGTTCATAATATTCAAATACAAAATTTTTGATAGAAAGTGGCAGGACAAAGGCGAAATATAACACCAGGATTGTTATTACTCAGTGATTTATTTTGTATATATTTTTAAAGCACTATATGTCATTTTGGATTTATTTTCAAATAATACTGTGGGGATATTGGACGATCAGGCTGAGGTTCAGACTCAGTACCAGTCGCCTCAAACATTAAAGTGTTATTTGTTGAACTGCTGATACAAGATAGCCAATGCAAACCACAACCCTCATTTTATAAAGCTCGTTACGAAATAGCTTTATTGAGGCAAGCCACTTAGGTTAAAAATATCTCAGCAATGAATGAACGTAATAAAACCCTGAATATCGAAAACAAAAAACTATAAATTCATACCAATGCATTTACCAAAAAAATCTTCATGTCTCATCAGTTTTTATCTTATTCCTAGAGTTGTAAGTTACAATATTTTTGTTTTAAGTATCAGTTCACACAATTATAAAATATACTCGACATTAAATTTTAGATCAGAGCAACTTATGGCTTTATAATTTGTTGGATTCCATTTTTACTAAACTGTCAATTTCGATTTACATAGATTGAAATTAAAATGTTGACTAACATATAAACCAAGTTTGTTTTATTTGTTCCTTTAGGTTAACTTAAGTTAATTAGTTGACAACTAGATTCAAAAAAAGAGGGTGCATGCTTGTTATGTTGAGTGATCGATTTCAGTTACTTGTTCACCTTAACATGCATAATCAGCCTAAAAATAGAGAGCATGACGATAAAGACTGTGTAAGAAGCTTAATAATAGTAATCCATCCAGTTAATTTTTCGGTATCCAGATCGACATTAACATTTCATAGCTGACCTTGGCTGCATGAACTGTTTATTTCATAGTAATAACCTGACTATACTTTTGTCTAATTTTTTGTGTGGTACCATGTGACTTATACCATTTCACCAAGCATACAACTAAATTCCCAACAAAAGATCATTGATTGCAAATTAAAAAACGGTTTTGGCGTAATTGTTAAGTTAAATTGTTGAAAATACTCAAAACTAAAATGATTATTCTTTAAGTACGATCTGATGTCAAACTAGAGTTTATCACATTTGGTACCATTTATTTTGAAAATCATAATGGATTTGTGTTTTTTTTTTGCGGTTGTATCTTTTAGTATAAAATTAATTAAAGTGATTAATTTGCAAAGTTTTGACAGTGAGTTTTACGTAAAACTAAAAGAAGTCGAGTTTGTTCAGTGTTCCGTAAAACATGGAGTTTCGGTTGTTTCGAATAGTGTCAGTACACAGTTTTTGTGTACTGTCGCAGCGTCAATGTGGTAATTTAGTAACCAATAAGAGTGAGTTGGTTTTTTGTACACTTGATTATTTAACGATTGTGTGTTTACCACTATGGGATTGTAAAGATCGGTGGTTTACATCGAAATCACGAAGTAATCCAAGTTAGAAAACGATTGAAAACCCTCAAGCACTGGACGGTTGTTTTGTTCCACTACGAGATTCTTCAGCAGTGCTCACCTACGAACCCGTAATCACGAATAGATTCCAGGAATTTCGGCCTTTGTTTTTGTTCACTCTAGTAAGATACCTAAGATCGAAATTCTGTTTTCTGACTCTTCTATCTAGAATTTGATGTCGTTAAAAGTGTTATTTTTTCGGCCTACTAGTATCGTTCAATTGCTTTTTATTCCGATACATAAAATGCTCCATCTATGTAGCAGGTTAACGTTAAATGCACGGCCATTTTTGTATTTTTTTTCGAGTGAAATTCTTTTTATCCCTTTTTAAAATTTTTTTCATCCCCATCTACCAAGTTAGACATTAACACCGTTGGATGCCGGCTCAGTGATCTAATGGTTAAGTGCTCGCGCGCGAGACCAGTGGGTCCAGGGTTCGACTCCCGTGAGGTGCGGGATCGTGGATGCGCACTGCTGAGGAGTACCACACTAGGAAGAAACGGCCGTCTAGTGCTTCCAGGTTTTTCATGGTGGTCTAACTTCAACTGACTCAAGATTTCAATAAGTGAAATTTCTAAAATCTCCACGAACCCCTTCTGATAATTTTCATTCTGTTTCGTCCAATCAAATAACAAGTTTTAAGTTCAATATAATCGGTCGTTTATTTCTTAAAATCAATATAAAAATATCAGGACATGACGACAAAGCACATTTTCTTACAATTATGGACGGTAGTAACATTCAAAGCACGAGCTCCGTCGTTCCTCACGTTGTCACAGAAACCGATAATCTGTTCGTTCTTGAGCACATTCTATCTCGTAGTGTTCCAATCTCTTGAAGCGTTGAAGAGCGCCATTAGAACGTATGAAAGAGTCACGTACAGCCATTATGTGGTGAGGGATTCTCGTTTCCATAGACATTAGAAGCCGTATATTAAATTTGTATGTTGGAGAAATGGCCGTAGAACACCTAGCGGTTCCTCACAGCCGAGTAGACGAACGAGGTAATTTGATTAGTGTTATTATAATTTTTCATAAAGCACTTTCGTGAACACTCCATGTCCTTCCTTCATATTTTGTAAGTTACCAACTATCAAAATAACGTCAATATGGATGCAACGTTAAGCAATGACGAGGAAGAAATTGTTTCGATGAACTCAGAGGAGTTCACTGAACGAGACGACGACAATGACGAAAACGCATATGAAAACAGACTTTGTGATATTTGCAATCTTGCGCAACCGCCACATGAAACTGCTGATGGAAGTACCTGGATTTTTTGTCCATGCGAAGCAATGCTTCATTTATTTTGTGCCTACGACCCATCACCACACGTCCATGGAATCCACTGTCTCATGTACGGAGCTATAATCGAATAATAGCGACGCCATTGTTCATGAAATTCGGAACTTCTAAGAGAACGAGTAAAGGCCCTTTTCAGGGCCACCCACAATTTGACTTAAATTCTTTTGTTTCAATTCCTTATTTCCATAGCAAAGGTCAAGTGATCAAATCATCAAAATTCATTTTAGATTAATAGTCATTATGTGATTAGCGCCTACGTATTCGTAAACTCTTTTTAAGCTTTATCAAATACACAGTTTAAGTAAACGATTTCGTATGGGAAATGTCATCTAATGAACACTAATCTGTCTAACAATAGTACATGCAAAACGTATTCAGAATGTTTCAGTGTTTTGTCATTTAGTTACGGTAGACGAATGTAGTTCTACCGGTTCACTAGTACAACGACATCATTTCTATAGGAAAGGTCAACTGAACCAACAATATAGAATATTCTATGGGGATTTTTAAAGTGCAAATATGCTGTTGACATTACGTGCAAAATTTGTTAAGCCCAATTGACGAGCACAATAATCTATTCACATGACTACTTACATAGACAAGTATTTTTTGTCATAATTTTAAACAGCTCAACTACAAAGAATGTACAGTTAAAAACAAGTAACGCTTTTAACGGATTAGCAAAATAATACAATTGACAATCTTGCATTTATTTATGACACCATTATTCCGGTAAAACTAAACAATTCTTTTCTACTAAGAATTACTGTTTGGAAAAGTACCCAATCATAAATATTATTTGCTATTTTCTGAGAGAAGTTATTACTATTTTGCTTCATTTACCGATCGTTAACGGTTAGCGTGATTTATGCATGCCCTATTCATTACTTTATCATGATGATTTATGGATATGTTGCTACGCATATAACGTTTATTAAAATAACATACGATGTGTTAAGAAAAAACTAATGGAAATACTTCGATGAATAATTTGACCACCTTTCAACGTCAGTTATTACTATCACCAACTATTAAAACCAGTTATAAGTTTTTCCCAAATTCTCTTCTAATGATCTAATCCACGAAATTTTTATAAATCTCAATTGATCATATTGCTTAATCACTAAGGCTTAATTAAAATTCATCGATGTTGGTTCAGTTGACCTTTCCTATAGAAATGATGTCGTTGTACTAGTGAACCGGTGGAACTACATTCGTCTACCGTAACTAAATGACAAAACACTGAAACATTCTGAATACGTTTTGCATGTACTATTGTTAGACAGATTAGTGTTCATTAGATGACATTTCCCATACGAAATCGTTTACTTAAACTGTGTATTTGATAAAGCTTAAAAAGAGTTTACGAATACGTAGGCGCTAATCACATAATGACTATTAATCTAAAATGAATTTTGATGATTTGATCACTTGACCTTTGCTATGGAAATAAGGAATTGAAACAAAAGAATTTAAGTCAAATTGTGGGTGGCCCTGAAAAGGGCCTTTACTCGTTCTCTTAGAAGTTCCGAATTTCATGAACAATGGCGTCGCTATTATTCGATTATAGCTCCGTACATGAGACAGTGGATTCCATGGACGTGTGGTGATGGGTCGTAGGCACAAAATAAATGAAGCATTGCTTCGCATGGACAAAAAATCCAGGTACTTCCATCAGCAGTTTCATGTGGCGGTTGCGCAAGATTGCAAATATCACAAAGTCTGTTTTCATATGCGTTTTCGTCATTGTCGTCGTCTCGTTCAGTGAACTCCTCTGAGTTCATCGAAACAATTTCTTCCTCGTCATTGCTTAACGTTGCATCCATATTGACGTTATTTTGATAGTTGGTAACTTACAAAATATGAAGGAAGGACATGGAGTGTTCACGAAAGTGCTTTATGAAAAATTATAATAACACTAATCAAATTACCTCGTTCGTCTACTCGGCTGTGAGGAACCGCTAGGTGTTCTACGGCCATTTCTCCAACATACAAATTTAATATACGGCTTCTAATGTCTATGGAAACGAGAATCCCTCACCACATAATGGCTGTACGTGACTCTTTCATACGTTCTAGTGGCGCTCTTCAACGCTTCAAGAGATTGGAACACTACGAGATAGAATGTGCTCAAGAACGAACAGATTATCGGTTTCTGTGACAACGTGAGGAACGACGGAGCTCGTGCTTTGAATGTTACTACCGTCCATAATTGTAAGAAAATGTGCTTTGTCGTCATGTCCTGATATTTTTATATTGATTTTAAGAAATAAACGACCGATTATATTGAACTTAAAACTTGTTATTTGATTGGACGAAACAGAATGAAAATTATCAGAAGGGGTTCGTGGAGATTTTAGAAATTTCACTTATTGAAATCTTGAGTCAGTTGAAGTTAGACCACCATGAAAAACCTGGAAGCACTAGACGGCCGTTTCTTCCTAGTGTGGTACTCCTCAGCAGTGCGCATCCACGATCCCGCACCTCACGGGAGTCGAACCCTGGACCCACTGGTCTCGCGCGCGAGCACTTAACCATTAGATCACTGAGCCGGCATCCAACGGTGTTAATGTCTAACTTGGTAGATGGGGATGAAAAAAATTTTAAAAAGGGATAAAAAGAATTTCACTCGAAAAAAAATACAAAAATGGCCGTGCATTTAACGTTAACCTGCTACATAGATGGAGCATTTTATGTATCGGAATAAAAAGCAATTGAACGATACTAGTAGGCCGAAAAAATAACACTTTTAACGACATCAAATTCTAGATAGAAGAGTCAGAAAACAGAATTTCGATCTTAGGTATCTTACTAGAGTGAACAAAAACAAAGGCCGAAATTCCTGGAATCTATTCGTGATTACGGGTTCGTAGGTGAGCACTGCTGAAGAATCTCGTAGTGGAACAAAACAACCGTCCAGTGCTTGAGGGTTTTCAATCGTTTTCTAACTTGGATTACTTCGTGATTTCGATGTAAACCACCGATCTTTACAATCCCATAGTGGTAAACACACAATCGTTAAATAATCAAGTGTACAAAAAACCAACTCACTCTTATTGGTTACTAAATTACCACATTGACGCTGCGACAGTACACAAAAACTGTGTACTGACACTATTCGAAACAACCGAAACTCCATGTTTTACGGAACACTGAACAAACTCGACTTCTTTTAGTTTTACGTAAAACTCACTGTCAAAACTTTGCAAATTAAACCAAAATATTCTATGTTACTTAAATGAAGCTAAATTTAATTCATGGGTGTATAAAAGACAAGATTTTCGGATTTCGTTAAGAAGTGGATGGAAATTGGAAGCTCAACTACTGATTTAAATGAGAAAAAAAATGATGAGATGAAATCTACTTGTTATGGTTGGATCTTAACTAGGATTCATTAGGTGTTTTTTGAAAAGATCAGTCTATTCCTACCTATTTTGGATTTTATGTTGATTAAGATGAATAATGAGATTATGATTATTGTTTACTGCTTGATTTGTTCAACACATTTCAGCAATCATAACATCAACATACACGCATACTGTGATTTGATCACATTTAAACTCGGATGACTCATTCAGAATATAAACAAAGTCAAAACTTAGACACTGTTAGATAAACGTTTAATCCATAGTCATTTTGATACTAATTATCTCTTTAGACTTCTGAATTATCTTTTACTGAGTCCTTTTGTGAGCCACTTATTTATATTCAGAGTAATTTTCTTCAGTAAGTGACTTGTATACTTAATTCAACATGTAGAATAGTTATGGGTACAAAATCTACATGGAATTAATACTATTGCCAAAGGATTCCCAGGATACTGCTGAGTAAAATCACTTTCGGAAATATTCAATGCAAACTTAGTGTTTTTATCATTCACTAGTGTTACATCTTTGATGTTTTTACCCAATAATATACAGGAGGGAACTTGTTTCGATCTAGGTTAAGGCCTTGGTACGATAGGCTGACTTGTTTTAACTTGAAGCTGGAAATGTGTGAGTTTGAATCAAGACCAACTGCCTTGGGCAGAGAGACGAAAATTCTATCACCTGATCTGTTGACAAGCGAGAAAACGAGAGAGAAGACTAGTCAACTGGAACACCACTCGATTTATTCCTGATCCTTAATTCAGATAAAGGTAAAAAGAACATGAATAAATCGATGACAAACACGACCACAACGCATATACATTTAGGAAAATACAATCATGTCCAAATTGGACATTGACGTAGAAAAATGGAGTACAAAAGGTTACGTCTAAATTACAATGGCTTTGAAACAGAAAAGGGTATGACAGTGAACCATTCATCAAACGAATGCTTATGGTTTGTATAATAAACTAGGGTCGAAACTAAATATTATTGCTCTATAAGCTTTGAATCAAGTGAAATAACCTCCCTAAAATTAGCTTCTGTTGTTTGTCATGGCTCCTTTGTTCATGTCAAATAGACGCTCGAAGAAACTCATCTACATGAAAAACAAATGACCTTGATTAACCATTTTGATATGGATACCTGTCTTTTGGCTTATTTGGAGCTGGGTAAATATTTCATGCATTAAAGAATATTTCCTGACTTGTAAGAAAGTACCTTTCAGTGTAGCTTAGTGGAGGACAGTGCAGAAGTATGCAATCTTTCATTACGGAACATAGTCATAACCAGGTAGTATTAGACTCATTATTTGAAACTATTTATTCAACTTAGATAATTTTGATTTGAACCGTTTTCCTCCTCAAAAAGAAGAGTGAACCAAATTTCCTAGGTGAAGCATTAAGATGGTCTTAATTTCAGTTGGATGAAATAGGATACAAAGATATATAATTCTCCATAAAACTTAATTGATTTTAATTAAAAGACTAATATTTGAACGAAGAATATCATTTTCGATAAATTCTCTTCAGGTTCTAAAACTATATATCCAAATTAATAATCTGAAAAATGGCCAGGTTAAGAGCAAAGTACATCGTTTAAAGTATGTGAATTTAGCGTTGTCAGTTCAATTGTTATCTTTATTAACAAAACTTCGTATTTATCGAAAATAGTACTCTTCGTTCAAATATTAATCTTTTAATATGATGGGGATCTTTACATGATTTTAATTATTTTATTAGATTTTAACAAATTTTATTATGAATTATTTGTAAGTAGTATTGCAGTAATTTTACTGTATGCTTGTTAATCTGTGCATTAACCATTTTCTTTGTTAGTTGATTCGTCAGTTCAAAAAAAGACTAATCAACAAATAAAACACATCTGGATGAATCCATCGAAACTTCAAGGAACAATAAAATCTCCGAATTATCCATCATTTTATCCACAGAATTGTAAACTATTATACATTATTAATATACCTGAAAAGAGATTCCTTCGATTGAAGTTTTCAGATATTCAGTTAGGAAGTAACATGCCGAGTACCAAGTAAGTTGGTCTATATATGTCGTGTTTTATTGACCAGTGTGATTACCAAAAATCTACTAAGTTGTAGTTGTTCTTGATGACTGGAGTTTCAAGAACTGTCTAAGACCACTTGATAAAGAATAAAAATAACTGAATTCTGGCCACGGTTAATGTTCACATTTTTTTAATAGTGTACACAGTATTTGGAGGTAATGAAATATCAAAATATATTCTGAGGATGACTAGACCGGATCCCAACTCAGTTATCTAAAAGCACTGCACTTGCCTAGAGATCTGGAGGTCCTGGGTTCAAAGACGGGAATATGGCGGGTTTGTGGAAATTGCTTAATTTTTCTATTTTGAATAACTAACTCATCTTAGCTAGGCAACCATTTATAATCAAAAAGCACTGGACAACCGTTTCATTCTATTATGGCATTACTCAGTATTGAGGGATCCACAAACATACCGCCGAGTATCGGGTCTAATGTAGCTGCGGGCACCTAACCTTTAGACTACTGAAAAAGCGTCCCATGGTGTATATAGCCACAGTATTGCGCGACTCTATCTCATTGTATTCAGTGTCTTTCTTACCCACATTCGACATTTCTAAACTCCATTGGTTACTGCTTCTCGCTAGAACTCTTAGGATTACACCTTCAAGTTAGTCACTGGTGAGCACATCACTGTTATGAGTAGAGGAGGTTTAGAGAGATCATTGAATACTGATTCATTAGTCTGAAGGTTAGGCACCCGCAGCTAGACTACAGGCTCTGGGTTCATTACTTAGTGGTGTGTTTGTGGATCCTCAATACTGAGTATCCCCATATTAGGACAAGACGGTTGTCCAGTGCTTCCTGACTAATGGTTGTCCACCTAATTTCAGTCAGTGATATAAAATATGGAATAAATAACTGACCGTCAAGGCGTGAGGTAATAAGTGTAGGATTTATTTTGACTACATATATCATACTGAAAATTCTGCGCTAAACGTCAACAACTTTATCTGTTTTTGTGTAATAACATAGAAATTACTTTCGGATTATGTGAAGAGCAAACCACCATTTGAATTAAAATAAATGAGGCACATGAATGATGACTTATCACGTACGTTGACGTTGTTGGCACAGTCATCCGTATATCAAAAGCCGAAAAACTCATATAAAAAATATGGATCGTTTTTATAACAAAACCACACGCTTACTAACAAAATGTTTGGGACGACAAAAAACCTGTTTAAAATTCACGTGAAACCTAACTGGTTGTAGTATTCGAATTTCATAGATCATTCACTAATCAACAAAACGGAAAATACGCACTAATGAGAAAATTCTAAACATAAACGAACAAACACTAATTCGCTGGTGAAACATTTCAAATACATGTGACTGAAAGAATAGAATTTTCTAATCCTGATTGAGCATTGAGTAGCTACTAATATCATGCTTATCTAGTCTTTACTGTTGACGAGATTTATCCAATAATTTTTAAGCAGCCATTACCTGATGTAACTCGACACAGTAATGTTCTGTGTTGGGAGCAATAAACATGGAGCCTAATTTGACATTTCATTCTTGTGATACTGACGTCTACTATTTCTAGAGTACATAATACTGATTATTACTAAGTTATCAGTTACTGAGTAAGCAATTTAGACAATATTGAATAAAATAAATAACTCCTTGAATGGCAATAACAATAATTTAACTAAAAAACAGAACATTAATTTACGAGGCTTTGTTTTGTTATTTATACGTTTGGATTATAAATTAAGTTATTACTGGTTCGCCCCCAAATGCCCGAGGGTGGGGAGAGTTAGCATATCATCTACATTTATCTTCACCGGCTACCATGGGACTGCACCTCCAAGCGTTGCTCAACTGCTTTATGGATCAGACCTTTGGGCCGAAGACTCCGGACGTAGCCTCCAAGGAGACCACCTGCTTTGGTCTGGGCACCCAGGTAGTATCACAGCTCACACACAAATCAAGTGACTTGTGTATTCAATGCCCCTTTGTTCCAATATTTATGTGTTCAAATAAATATAAATAAATATCACTGACTCAAGAATGAACCTAACCAATAATTTTAGTTTTTTATTTAACTTTGTGATTCATGTGTAAGTTAACTATTTTAATGCTTAACAACAATCTGTGCTCAACTATTATCCGTGAATTATGCAATTTCCTGAAAACATTGAATCGACTTTCGATTTAACTGCCGTAGTGCGCGTAGGTTCGTTAAACGTTCACTCTGATAACTGTTATTACGAGGACTCCACGGGATTGAATTCAGAAAGCGATAAGAAGCCGCGACTACAATTTATTATCCGATCGCGCGGATCAAAGAATTACAAACACATCAAGCGGATTTTAAGCGAAAAGGTCAATGAATCATCGCAAGCGACTATAGATGCAGATTTATAGTTATATCAAATAAAGGCACGGTGAATCAAAGTACAGTTCGTTTTTATAATACAAGCACATATATATGAGGGAAGGAGAATCATACATCGAGCTTTATTTAAGTGATCAAGATTTTAGCTAGACAGGAATATGCGTTGGCTGTAATAAGCGTTCAAATATACACGTTTACGTAAGTGTGATAGCGATTCTACTAATACAAAGAGGTAAACGACTTGTTACTATGACGATGACACTTTCCGTCAGATGAAAGGGGTCGACAGGATTAACCGTTATCAAAATTATTCGTAAGAGTGTTACTACACTACACCCTAAGAAAAACTGTAACAACCTAGTCTTTCTAAAAGTAAATTCGCAACAAATGTTTTGATATTTTTTATACCCAATTGTAACTACAGTTGAATCAATCATACGGTGTTAGCATTTTTAATTATTATTTGGAATTAAGGAACTCTTCAAAGGAATCACATCCACTTTCAAGAAAAATGAAAATGCATTGATAGTAGTAATTTAAACATGTATGATTCATGCCTTGTCGCTTCAAAATTACTCCTTTACTTTAGATGATGTTAAAATGGATTTAGACAATACTGGTAGAAGTGTGATCAAGCAGTGCTATTAACCAGCAATGTTATTCCTTGGTTGTCTGAGTAATGTCAACCAGTACGAACGCTATGATTTGACCTATGATTGGGCATTCCAAATAGATCGGTGGTGGTGACATTCAATCTTTACTCTGCTTTATTACATCATAATTATTCATTTGTTGATTCCATCTAGTTCTTTAATACTTTTGTTTCTTAATATTACATTTTTCGCTATTACTATCTGATATTTTTGAAACTCCAATCTAGATGTACGCAACATGTGGGTGATCGTATAGAAATCTATGAAAAGAATTATTTAAATATTACACCCAATTTAATTTTGTGCGGGACATCAGTACCACAGGAACAAATAATGTTCAATAATAAATTTGAAGTGCAACGTGTATATATTTATTTTATTACAGACCATATAACAAGTACAAATGAGCTTGGTTTCATGTTGTCATATGAATATTCCACTAAAAATGATTATACTGAGAATAATAACAAATTATTTCTTATTCGTAAAGATTTATCCGACAAGGTTGATGATGGTAAGTAGTAATTGACATTTTCAAAAGGCCGAAATGCTAAATGCTGTAAAGTATGAGTTCATTTGTACATTTTTGGTATCCATGATAAATTAGTGTGGTGTTCCAGACATTCGAGGTTGGTGAAGCCTCTCTCGGTAAAGCTCATAGGCTTATGTTGGTTAGAATTTGCCTTTTGAGGATCACCAACCCACCGCATGGACGTGATTTTGAGAGGGAACCCCTAGTCTTGGTGTGTGGGTGTTGAAGCCATGGGGAAGTATAGTCTTTACCCATGCATTCCTTGGCCTATGCATAGGTATATTCATCCACCTGGGATGGTAGATAGTCACCTCTTCCTTTAAACGCATTTGCTACAGCTGACTATCTACTGAACATTATGTGCATACCATCGGTGCAATGACTTTTGTCCATACACTTCAAGCAATACACACGAGCATAAATACTCTCTCAAGAGGGGTCGATGATCACCAATCCCTAGTATTTGCTGCCATATCCTTTTATTGTCTTCGATATGATGGTTTAGGCTGCTAACGTTATCAGATATAGGTAGACATGTTTTTCAGATTATCTTCCTTTTACGGTCCTGGCGCGTACCCTTTACATATACCTACATACACAACTACAAAAGCCGAGATTCATGCAATTCATATGCATGAGCGTACACATCGGGCAGCCCGCCACGACTTTTAAAGCTTTGATGAGTGAACTTTGAGCAATCCAAGCTCAGCACAAAGGTGGATTAGTCTGATCCTCGCCAACTGCCCGAATTAGCTAGCTACCTAGGAGTGCCACGAGGGGCCTCAAATCGGATTTTGTTGCCAATAAATTATTGAAGGTTTACATTCAGTGTCTTTAATATTCTACTGAAAAATCTCAAATAGGGCGAAACGCACGTGATCAATTTTACTTCTAGCCATAATAAATATACTATAACTTGTGCCTAGAGTCTATATAGAGACAATACGCTCAGAATACATGTATGAGCACTAGAATTAATCAGTTGCAGTCCTTATTGTTGACAAAGGGAAATTAGAAACTCCGACTAGTCCCTTTGATTCCTTTAAACAAGTTGGTGGCTATTTTGAATCAATAGCCGAGTGAGTAACGCATTGTTATTTTAGGTGAGAGTGATACAGGGTTCAAGCTTCACTGTGAATATTAATACATACAGCGAACGAGTTTCAAATAAAACGAAACTCTCTTCCTAGATTCCGTTGCTATCCATAAACTGGTTATACTACTTATGATAAATTATTTATAGAATCTCAAAGATCAACATCCATGAGCTCGTATTATTACTACAAATAGCTGAAGTTCCCATTTTGGTTATATTATTGAGGCTGATTCCCTCTTTATCTGACTCCAATAAATAGTATCCTGTTAACTGAGTATTTAACACAAGATAAATTTCCTAGTACAATTATGGATTTACTCGAGATTAATCAAAAGCCTGAATACCAGTTACAGAGATAGTTTATTTACTAATTGAATTCATGAGTCAATTGAAGCTAGACCACCATGGGAAACCTGGAAGCCCTGAACAGCACCTCCACTATCCCGCCGCGCGAGATTCGAACCCAGGACCTATCACTCTCGCGCGCAAACGCTTAACCTTCAGACCACTGAGCAGATATCCAGCGGTGTTGATGTTTAACTTCAACCAACCTACTATTGAGGAGTCCCATACTAGGATGGAACTGCCGTCCAGTGCTCCCAGGTTTTTCATGGTGACCTGGCTTCAATTAACTCGTGGAATTACTACAACCTCCACAAAATCCCTTTCAGATAGTTTATTGTCAGAGATTGGTGAAATCCGCAAGCACACAGTAAGCAGATAAATAATAACGTAGTTGAATGGGTTTACCAAGGTGTACTGATTAGTATCCATCATTTAAAGTAGTCAATCAGTCGTATAATATCAAAGTGCCGACTGGGGTATTTAAGTTTACGAAGTAAATATTTATGAATACGGATATTTCATATATTAGCAAGACTTCAGTAGATATGATTGTCTAGGTAAAGTTAATATACGATGGCAAACCACGATAGTCAACAACGTCCGAAACCTTACTTTATTAATAAAATTATCAAGTTCTTAATGGAGGCTAACTTCGACAGCCGATTCCTTGATTTATGATGATAAGTAGTGATCAGTATTATTCAACCTTGTAGGTCGTGAGACAGATATCACCAATCACAAAAGGTGATTGTCACCCAATATTCCAGATAGGTTGGAATTAGTGACCAATAGATTTCAACCCAGCGTACTGACAGTTAAGGATCGGAGAGATGTAGCAAGAACCTTAGTTTCACTCCTGTTGGGGCCATTAATGCACGCTCCGTTTGGTCCTACGCTAAGATAAAAGAACTGTTCAGTACTTCCTAATTTTTGATGGTTACCTAACTACAGTTTGGCCGTTCTGTAAAACTATAAAACTCAACAGTTTCCGTTACCACCTAAACTATAGAATATGGTCAGTTAAACAAAGGAATTACAATAACATTATTATTATTATTATTATTATTATTATTATTATTATTATTATTATTATTATTATTATTATTATTATTATTATTATTATTATTATTATTATTATACAGTATGTTTGAGTAAAACCACAGACAATGACAAAACGCTTTTGTGGAATTCTGAATTGATTAAGTGCTGACAATCACATCCTTATTTATTGAGAGCATTAAAGTAAAGATTTTTTTATGTATTGTTGAAATTTCTTGGTTATCATGCTGTTATTGATAGACACCAATAAGACATGACCATAGCATTAAACAAATGAATGCTTTATCAAGAATATAAATTGAGCAGTCAAGTTTTAATTGGAATGTCATCTTTTACATTGATGGCATGTAGAAGTTTACGTAGTGTGGATCTTGAATCCTACTACTACTTATTACACATTTTGTTGTTCACCACTGATTTTATTCTTCAGTGAGGTACATCCTCCGTTTTTTATCATCATGCTTAACTCAATAACGTTTATGTCGAAGTAACATCCTACATTCCGACCTACTTAGTCTGGTGCTCATGATTGAATACTATATTTCAAACTGATAATTTTCAAGATAATTCAGTTTATCATGTTGAAGTTTAAATAGAAAGACACTCGCTTTGATACTAATTATAATCGAGCTCGTGACTCACTGATTTCATACATTCAATCCATGTAGCAAACCAGTCATTTTTAAATAATGTGTAACATAAACCACAAACGTTAAAAGTTCGCACCTAAACTATTTTAACACTCAAAATCCATTTTCACCACAAAGTATAATATAAGATTATGTTCGTTGAATGTCTGTTTTGTTTAGATTTGAGACTCCTCAGTAATATACACTCAATATCCTAGTAGATTTTTAACCTGGAAACTAAATCTTTCAGTGAATATGGTTTATTAAAACACTTAATCCCATTCCAGTCTCATTTATTTTTTGAGCATATTTTTATAATCAAATTTTTAGAATTATTCGTTACTTTTTTAAATCAAATTATTCTCAAGATCCTTTGGAACAGATAAGGCAAACGTTGAAAAAACCTTTAGGCTAATTGTATAGATATGAGTTTCGAATCGCGTTTCTAATCCCCATCAATAAACGCTGCGAATGTTATCTTCGTGAACCAGCGTATTGTTTTTGATCTCTTTCTATCTACACTATAATAACCCTTTTCTGTCCAATATTCCTATTTCATTCTTGTTGAAATTTTAAAAAGAAAAAAGGGATACAAAAGTCAGTCAAAGAAATTTTTATAAGTTATTTCCATCTTAAATATAGTTTATAGTATGCTATATCTAGTGCTTAGATTCTTAATATACCACATATAACGTGAGCACTCAAACGCTAGAACCCTCCTGATTGGCAAATGAGAAGACAAAAGATAAATGGAAGGAACGCTATTCCAAATAGTGTCATTTATGATACAAAACTGTCAGGTATTTAAAGTTTTTCGTAAAAACGAAATCATCCTTATAGTCCTCCAATACACATACAGGGGTTTATCAGCATTCGTCTAATAGGGAAGCCAATGTAGGGATTCTGGAATATTCTTCCAAAAGATGATTGGATGGAATATCTTCGGCTCTCTCTGAGTTTCGTACACCATCCTTGAGTTCACTCATGGACCGTCCTCACATGGTAACATACTTAAAATTAACAATAAAAGAGAGTGCTTTGCCTGAAGTTTCACCTGATAAATCAGCAGAAATTTTGATTTTCGTGTCAATGTAACGTTCCTATACACAGTAGACTGGAAATATCGCAGCTAATTTTTATAAATTCTTTCTGTCAAAATTAATATTAAATATTTTTCAAAATTTTTGATAATTAATAAGTAATCTGGCAACAAAATGTTAGTTATTAATACGTTAGAACTTAAGACAAAAATATCAAAAGTGCTTTATTAACTATCCGATTGTCAGTTTCGAAACAAATGCCAAGCTACAATATTTTTTACGTTTAAATTTTACTGTTTTTGACACTGAAATTGATTAATAGTTTAGTGGATAAGGAGCTGTTATTCAAGTCAGTAGGTACTGAGTTTGAGTCTCGTTGTGAACATCAATACTAGAATGGAAGTTCATCTGAATTAGGGAGCAGAACAATCACCTAGAGACCTACTCGTGTTCACACTCCGATAATACGGACGAGGCTATTGAATGATTATTACATACACATATCCTGGGGCATTTTTAAAGTTAGAAATGAGAATTCTTTAGTTTTAACTCTGCTATTTCAAGCTTTTGGACTTACTGAGATATGGAAAATCCGTGGTTCGGACCGAAATTAGTGTGCAATATTGAACAGACGTGATCAATGGTGAATTCGTTGTTTTCGTTTTCCTCTGACTTGATATCACTTGCTCACTATATGGATATTCTTAATTTGTAGTAAGAAGTAGTGAAACAGGTCGTCTGTAAGATTGTAATTCCCTAGTGATATTGGTTAACAAAATTTCTACATATTGAGAACTGACGAAATTTCAAAAC